CTGAGCCCTACCCAAACCTAGGAACCGCTCTGCGTTTGGGTTACCACGAGTCCTGTAGGGCCCTGGGGGAGACCCTTTCAGGGTCAGAAAGGTAGACCCCCAGTTTGTTAACGCAAGGGGGGAACCCCAGATTGAACACCCCAGATTAGGACCCCAAAATACCTCCAGCTGGAACACCCTAGGCTAGGGCTCCTAAATAACGATCCCCTGGTTCCTGATATATAGATGTGTTAAGAACCCTGAGGACAGATGTGGCCCCGAAGGCTGGGGTTCATGATGGGAAGTCTAAGACACCGGAGCCCGAGGACAAGATGAACAAGAAGCGACCGGCACAGGAGGAAGCGAAACCAGCCTCCCCCATGAGAAGGGTGAGGGTGCGAGGCAAAGCTTCCGTACCATCGCCGCCACGATCGGAGCCAGCGGGCCCAACTTCAGTCCCTGCTGATGAAGAAGCACCTTGGTTTGTCAATGTATAACATACTGTTGTATTCTTGATGGTTCTGGTTGCGCTTGTAGCACAGCCGTTCGTTCATATTGATTGTGGTTGTGCTTCCTTCAAGGAGGAGGAGAACTTGCTGGAGGAAGCGCCCGTGCCGCCCAGTGTTCCGAATCCTGATGATGGTAATGGAAACGACGATGCTGAGGAGGCCGCTGATGCTGCTGAGGGATGATGGCGTGTTCTTGCCATGGATGGATTATAATTTAATCTGGCTGCATCCTATGTTTTGTTCGCGTGGGTTGTCCAGGCCAACAACACAGCAAAGCCATATAAGCCCCTGTACTCATCACACCTTGAAGCCTCAGTGCTGAAATTCATTAAAACCCAAGAACACCGTACACTCTAAATGGTAGGCCTGTTTCCATGGACAACCCAAGCCAGCCGCGTGATGCTTCTCCATGGAGTGAAAGCTCTTTTCAGCCTTTTCAGGTCAGTGAGGGTGTGGTGCTTCATGCCTCAAGTGTATGAACTCCAGAAGAACTGCCAGTCTCGCATTAGGCACTCGGGCACCCCCATGCATCAATGACCTTGAGTCCTCTAGGCCAGGTCTTGTACCGTCCTGGCTAACCAAGAACGTGCTGGCTGAACCGGAAAAGACTGCAGTGTGCTTCGCTCCAATGTCAGGTTTGTAACATGACAGCTTGGTGGCATGCTAGCGTACCTTCTAGTGCATGTCAATGCAGCTGTGGCACTGAGGCCCTTGATGCCTTCGCCTTGTCTGCGGACCTCGAGAACGAGGGTGATGTCAGGCGTGGCAGCATGCAATCACTGAGCTTCCTTCTGCACTGTGTTTCTCAAGTCGTTCGTAGGCGTGTGTTCGGAGACAAGATGTCCAGTGCTGTTTACGCTACTCGGTCAAGAGAGCATTGATGTCTTAGCTCTTGCCCTCATGAGTTTCGTGAATCTGAGACGTCCAAGGCAACACTCCAAGTGCTTGAACACAACCTTCGCATCCTAGCTGGCCTCGGCATCAAAACCTTCCAGGTGGACACGGCCTACAGGCAACTCTTGCTTCAGGACTTGAACCCTCAGCGTCTATCAGAGATTTCCATTCCCCCAGTCTCTCAAAGGGCCACCTTGCGCATAGCGTCCCAGTTGCAATATGTAATGCGTGTTGTGATTCATACTGCTTGCAATGGGCCTTCTCGAAGTTACTACCTAGAGCTTAGGTCGCAGATGAGGAATCCCGCCAATGGCGGTCTTTCAACCTGCTGTACTCAGTTCTTGGGTGCCGTGGCTTGGCGGTTGCGGAGCTCTGCCACCCGCTCTGGAATGATTGGAAGCGAGCAGCCACAAAAGCAAACCTGAATGGATGCCTGCTGAAGTGCACCGCAACATGCAACCTTCCAGCAAAGCCCTACCGCTCAGGGAAGAGACGAATTGCTATCCAACAAGCCGCCCAGAAACTTACATTTTTTGCAGATCAGAAGTACTACGACGACCTGACCGAACGAGTGAAGTTCGACCGATGCTGGGCAGATGGTGGGGGTTCCATTACCAAGAAGGAATTCATGGATTCCAGGGCTGTGACACGCCGCTTGCCATACGTCACCCGTCTGAGTGAAAGGCTAAAACTATACTTACTATGGCTACTATGGTTTTA